TCTGCTGTGTAGTAAGTCAGCATTGGGCCCTCGGCACATCGGGGTGGCCACCCAACCTGGCACTTTCAGCCTCCACAACTGTGAGCTGAATAAGCCTCTTTGCTCTATACATTATCCAGTCTCGTGTATTTTGTTATAGGAACACAAATGGATCGGTAGAAAGAGTACGTCTGAATCACAGCTGGTCTTTTTCTTCACCCCTAAAAGGGCTGTGAATTTTTTCATTGGTTTTATCAAATTAGTCCCCTGATGGTGTTGTCAGAGGTGTCATTCTTGGTCACATTGCTGCAGCTACAGTGAAGTCAGATGAGGTCAGAAAACAAGGAGAGAACCTGTTCTCCCTCTAACCAATGAATCTTACACATCCGGATACCAGGAGAGTGGAAGCAAAATAAACCACATCCCAAATTAATTCAGGGAGTTCCGGTTAAAAGTGATTACACATAATACTGGTATTGGAATGAAAAAGAAAACTAAACCTTTTATAATTAATATTGTCACAAGGAGAGCAAGGAAGCTTGATTGAATTGTAACCACTGAAACCAGCTTCAAACGAGTGGGCCCACTGACAGGTCGCCCAGACCCCTTGCAGCAGTCAGAGTCTGTGTCAGCTGAAGCATTTCCAACCTGTTACCCACCTACTGTCACCCCCACGAATTTTTTTTTCTGAATTTAATAGCATCTTGAACTGAGTACTCGATGAAAATAACATCTGCACGCCTTCCCGGGGCCTCACCCCTGAAACACCCACCGAGGGCATGTCAGCCCAGGCCTGGACAGCCCTGGAAGTCTCCAGCTCTCCCCCTCCCTCAGCTTTCCAAACCACCCCTCCTCCCCGATGCGACTTTCCCCACGTCCTTCTCACAGGCTCTTTGTAGGGGAAATAAACACACAAGAGAATGAAAACCAAGGATTGTCTATGCCTTGCTGGACTCTACCATGGGATGGGAATGCAAAAGCTGTGACTGTTTATTTCACAGCATAAGACCCCCACCCACCCACCCTCCCTCACCCCGGTCTTGGCTTCTTGTTGAAGCATCACTCTCAGCACACGATGGTGCTTACAGGCACCGGTGGCTGTCATGTGTTGATTTTGGGGTCAAGAGTGCTTATAACCCCTACCCCCACGGTTCTCAAGATGAACCATATGGAAACTCCCCATTCATTCACATACCCACAGAGCTCACCTCCTACCAGCTACAGTTAGCTGAGACCCAGTTCCTGCTCGCAGTGGCTCATCGTCTCCTCCCGCACAACCCCCCAGCATCCCACATGGCTAAGCAATGTGGCAACCCCCAGCTCAGCTCCCTTCATCAATCTCCTGCCTTTCTCTCCAGTCCATGTGCCATACTGATGTCTCAGGGGGAGAACACCCCGTACCTTTGTGGTCAGATTACCTGCTTTGTAAAATTTTCAATGCCTGCTGTTGCCTTCCAAAGAAAGCCTAAATTCTGGAGCAGCACAGTAAGCTACTGACAGTCCCTCAGGGGTAGCATGCGCTCAGATCCCTGGGCCTTGCATGATGCCACCCTGTCTGCCTAGCATGCTACCTGAGGAACTCTACTGACAACTTCAAAATTCAGCTAGGACCAATGCCGTGGCGCAGTGGGCTAAGCCTCCACCTGCTGCTCAGCATCCCATACAGTCGCTGGTTCGAGTCCTGGCTGCTCCTCTTCTGTTCCAGCTCTCTGCTTATGGTAGAAGATGGCCCAAGTCTTTGGGCCCCTGAATGGGAGACCCAGAAGAGGCTCCTGGCTCCTGACTTTGGATCAGCACAGCTCCAGCCATTGCAGCCATCTGAGGAGTGAACCAATGGAAGGAAGACTTTTTTCTCTGTCTCTCCCTCTCACTGTCTGTAACTCTACCTCTCAAATAAATAAAATTAAATGTAAAAAACAATAAATAAATAAATAAATTACCTCTCAAATAAATAAAATTAAATGTAAAAAAAAAATTCAGCTGAGATGTCACCACCTCCAGGAAGCTCTGTCTGACTACCAACCCACCCATCCTGGATATGTGAATGAATGGGGAATTTCCATATTGTTCATCTTGAGAACCATGGGGGTAGGGGTTATAAGCACTCTTGACCTCCAAAAAAAGATGTCCTTCTTTTTAGTTCTCTTAGTACTTTGTGAATGCCTCTGTCATAGAAAAAACACATTTAATAGTAATGGTCTTATCTACTCACTTTTCTCCCAACCAGACTGAGAACTTAGTATAGATTTAAAAAAATATACATTTATCTGTATATTCCAGTGGTTACAAATTGTTTACTGCATGAAGACACCGAGCGTCTAGGAAGGAAGACAGAATCATTAATCTGCAATTACCTCGTCCGTGACAAGATGTGAAGTGACTATGATCAGTGGAACTGGACATGTCGGCTTGGGAAGAGGATAGGGTTGAGGAAGGCACCCCAGAGGGTGCTTGGGCTGGCCTTGAGGAAGATCAAGAGATCACAGGCCTCTAGGGAAGAGAAGGCAACGAGAACAGTGGCATGGAAGGGCCGGGACACCTCAGTCCACACATCACACCAGGGAACATTTGCTGAAATGCTGTCCTAGTCATCGCTGGTCACCTGGGTTCCTGGCGTCCTGTAGCCAACGTCTAGAAACACGGGTGAAGAGCAAACAAGCTTTGACTGAAAGTGAAGGGGAGAGAGAGAGCAAGTAGGAGGGCTCCCGCAGCACAGAAACTCAGCAGGAGGGATTCCCTGAGCAGGGAAATGACTGGGAGGGGGGAGTCCGGGACCTTACATTCTCTGTGTTGTAGGAGACTTTTAAAGAAACTACTAAATGGTCATCTCACTTACCTTACTCCCTGCAGCTGGTTGGAATTTGGCCCAGGTGTCCTCCTTCTCTGAATTCCTTTGAGTTACTCATTTATGATTTGGCGGCCCAGCTCTGCCTGTCCCTGCTATTTATAGCCCTGGGCTTGTTGAGTTGTAATTCCTGGATGCACTGCTTATCTCTGCAAATTTACTATCCCAGGTCTTTGTTTTGCTAACTTAGAGTCTCCAACTCTTACCTCCATATCTTGTTAGGTCCCAGGCTTTTTTGTATTTTAATTGCCTGTCTCTTAGATGCAAGCCTTTGTTTGTATAAGACTTGCTCCCTGCATTTACCCTCAGTTTGCTGGTGTTTGTTAGAGACCATTTTCCCTATCATGTAGCCGCCTTCCAGCACTTTCTACCTAACCTAACCTAACCAGCTTTTTCCTACCTATATCATTGGAAGAATGACTGTGACAATGAGACACAGAGACTGGAGAGAGAGACAAAGAGACAACTGGAACAGCCCCCAAGGCCTGAATTGAGCTAGCTGACCATCAAGCACAGATAAGGACAGAGACAGGTGCAGAGAAGGTTTGGACTCCAGTGAGAATGGTGGTGCCCTTAACCGTCATTAGAAATGAGGAGGGAAGACTGCTTTGGGAGAAAGGCAGTAAGCTCGGGCTGCTACCCATGAATTGGAGCTGCCTGCTGACTATGCAGCTGATGATTTTAGGAATCAGGTGGAGATGTGAGCTGAAGCCCAGAAGAGTCTAGTGGGGAATGAGGACCCTGAGTGGGTACCTTTAGTGGAGCCTTGTTTCACTTCTGCAGTTTAGTGCTGTGCCATGAGGTTTCCGTAGTGAGAACTGCTTAGCCCCTCCCCTGGCAGTGGCTTAGCTGTGGGGCCTTGGGGCACGGTGCTCAAGTTCAGGTTGTGTCTGCTACCTCAGGGGAACAGAGACAATTAAGGAAACCTGGACAAAGTTGTTGGCCCTAACACAAATTAATTTCAGTCCTGTGTTCCTGGTCCTTCTATGGGTTGTGAAAGTCAGGCCCTGAAGCCAGCCTCTTCCACTGCCTGAAAAACCAGACTTCCGGAGGCCACCAAGCACCCCTGAACCCTGGTGGAGCCTTCTGTAGGTGGAGATGCCATATCCTTGCTCCAAGAACATGTTTCCTCTTCCCTTGCCCTTTGGGGCCTCATTTGGCTGCCCTCTGGCCAGTAGGATGGGTACTTTTAGTTCTTATTCCTGCCCAGCCTGCAGCATTGTCCTGGGTAATGCTTAGTTGTAGAGATTTTTTTTCTGCAATTCTGTCTGCCTTACAGAGTTCAGGCTGGGATCTGCTTGCTTACGGGGCCCAACTAAAACAGCATCTTTGCAGCACAACACATTGTGCTCCCCCTGGCTAATCTGTCTTCAGCAACTGAAATGAGACCTGTCTGAATTCAGCGGTTCCTGACAGTTAGGATCCTGTGGGAGTTACACAATGTGCTCGTGGCTGAACCTCTTTTATTCCGAGCTCACAAAGGCTAAATGGGGATCACTTATGCAACCCAGGCCTTTGTGCCGATTCAGGAGGCGCTGGTGTTTAACCCAACTGCTCCTGGCAACCAGGTGCGAACATGACTGAGGGCGCTGGTTATATGTGGGAGCTCATTTTTTATTTCAAAAGACGGGTGGAAAACTCATCTTCAAACTTGAATATCAACTAACCACTGTTTACATGGAGAGAAAGATTGCAGTGGCACCCAGGGAAATTTAAATGGTGCGTAACAAAAATTCTCAGAGAAGCACAAAAACTAATCATCCCAGCCAATATGTTGCGTTAGCTGCCTATGTTGCCGACTGGCAATATGTTCAATGAAAAGAGCTTAAAATGCTTGTTCCTTCATGCAAAGCAAAAGCATCAGGTGTCTTCTCTAATTTTTTTTTTAAATTCTAAGTGGTTTAACTGCAGCCTCTGTCACACCAGCTAGATAGATGTGACATATGGCTGCCGTGCCTGCACTGTAGCATCTTCATTTCTGTGAAGGGAGATAAAGTTTGGTGATCAGAGCCAGGCTGCAACCAGGGACGAGCCTCTTCTTAGGCGCAGCAGGCTGCGGCCACGTTGTCCAGTTGCTCTTAGGAAACAGGCAAGCTCAGATGCCTTATGTAATGTGTCGGATGCGCAACTTGAGTCGAACCGTCTTTGGCTGACTTTACTTTTCTTTCGTTAACAGGTAGGAGATCAAATCATTGAGATCAATGGGGAAAGCACAAGGGACATGACACACGCCCGGGCCATAGAGCTCATCAAATCCGGAGGAAGAAGAGTGAGGCTGCTGCTCAAGCGAGGCACGGGGCAGGTCCCGGAGTATGGTGCGTGTCACATTGTGCTTCGCCTTTCTGCTTCTCCTGTGTCTCCTAACTGCCCAACCCTATTTACGAAACTACACCAGTTCTCTATTTCTACCTACAAATATGTTTCGCTATCAGCGGATATCTATGCACATACGTCTATTTAAGCCCACGACAGTTATGTGTTCGTGAACTTTTGCTTTTGCTCGCTCAGTTAGAGAATGTTCAAAATAGCAAATGTACAGCCTCTCAGGGCATCTCTGAGTGTGCGGGAGATCCAGCAGCTCCTACGGATGAGAACTTTTGCAATTTGGCTGATACAACTCTGTTCATTTGAGTCCACAGTAACTTATCATCAGTTCGTTCTTAGAATTGCTTGTGTATCAGACTGCCCCAGAGGATTTTGTAACTGGGCCAGGGGACAATGGAAAACACATCTTTAATGTGGGAAGCTTAAAATGTAAGCTTCAATTCGTGCAGTAGTTGCATTTCCTTGGCATTTGGGGAGGATTCCATAAACTCACTCTTAGGTTGCTTTTCTATGTGGAAGGCTTGAAGGAAGGCTTTGAAGTACGTTTTAATTCATAGATTGGCCTTCAGAAATCTTTAAAGTTGTTATTTTCCTTCAGCCTGTGATAGACACCGTAACCTAACATCATCAAAAATATCCGGTTAAGGTTAATGTCTAAAGTGAACCAACACCACAACTCTGGTGTATCACAGACAACTAGGTAGTCATCACATGAAAACCATCAGAACCAGAGCTGGTCTTTGAAAATGGTCTCAGGGAGTGACAAACACAGAGACTAGGGATTGACACTGTGTTGTAGCTGGTAAAGCTGTCCCTAGCAGTACCAGCATCTCATATGGTCGCTGGTTCATGTCCCAGCTGCTCCACTTCCAATCCAGCTCCCTGCTAATGCACCTGGAAAAGCAGCAGAAGATGGCCCAAGTGCTGGGGCCCCTGCCACCCACATAAAAGACTCAAAAGAACCTCCTGGCTCTTGGCTTCAACCTGGCCCAGCCCTGGCTGCTACAGCCATCTGAGAAATGAACCAGCAGATGGAAGATCTCCTCCCCAAATCCCTGCTCTTTTTGTAATTCTGACTTTCAAATAAATAAATAAATTTTTAAATCAACAACAACAACAAGAGTGCTGACACTGTGGTGTTGTAGGCTAAGCCTCTGCCTGTGGTGCCAGCATCCTAAATGGGTGCCAGTTCAAGTCCCAGATGCTCCTCTTCCAATCTAGTTCACTGCTAATAGCCTGAGAAAGCAGTGGAGGATGGCCCAAGTGCTTGGGCCCCTGCACCTGCATGGGAGGCCGGGAAGAAGCTCCTGGCTCCTGGCTTCAGCCTGAACCAGCTCAAGGTGGTTGCAGCCATTTGGGGAGTGAACCAGTGGATAGAAGACCTTTCTCTCTCTCCCTCTCTCTGTCTATAACTCTGCCTCTCACATAAATAAATGAAAATCTTTTAAAAAAAGAAAACAGTAGTGCAGGTAAGATCTGTTCAGTTTAGGGAAATAGTATCTAATTGCTGACATGAATAATGAGGCCTAATCGTTGATCTAGATAAATTGATTTTCACCCCCTCCATCCCACTACCCAAAAAAGTTCCTGAAAAGTACTTTTCCCTTTTAAATTGCGCTTTTTTTGCATATGTTTATCTAAATGACTCCTTATTTAACTGGGCAGATTGGTGTCCTGAGTTCAATTGAAGTCAAAGACCCTTAACTACATGATGTTTCCAGTGTCTTGTGCTCTCCCCAAATCTTTCAGAAAGAGCTAGCAAGCCCTCGCACTGAGCTAGAAAAGCATTCAGGAGTTTCTGTAGGGCTGGCTGTGTGCCCACGGAGCTATTTCATCCCAGGTTCCTGCCCTTAGTGCTTGGATCTAATGAACTACTTTTAAATATTTATATTAGTAATAAGAACAGGCTTAATCCTGCTAAATAGCACTGATATTAATCCCTTTGTAAAGAATCTGAACTCCTGGAATAGAATAATTTTTGCACCTAGAGCATTAACTGGTCCAATAAAATCTAAGTGATCTGGGAAAGTCTACCACTTCTAAAATATTTAAAGGTGTGTTTTACTCTTTGTCAAAACTTGACTATTATTTATACCAAGGAATTTTTAAGGAGCTAATATTGTTCTAGCAGGTTCATCTTTAAAAAGTTAATCTGAGGGCCAGCGCAGTAGCTTAGTGGGCTAAGCCTCTGCCAGCAGCACCGGTATCCCTTATGGGCATTGGTTTATGTCCCAGATGCTCCTCTTCCAATCCAGCTCTCTGCTGTGGCCTGAGAGAGCAGTGGACAGGCCCCTGCACCTGCATGGGAGACCCAGAGAAAGCTTATGGCACCTGGCTTCTGATTGGCCTGGCTCTGGGCATTGTGGCCATTTGGGGACTGAACCAGTGGATGGAAGACCTCTCTCTCTGCCTCTCCCTCTCCCTGTCTGTAACTCTACCTCTCAAATAATTAATTAAAGAAAGTTAATCTGACTAATGGGGGTCCCCTAGGCTTTCCATTCCTTTGTAGAACCAACATTGATTCCATACTCTCAGCATCCACTACTCCAGCTGTTTCTCTAACTGTGAGTAGTTAGCGCAGTACCAACCAACCTGTGCTACAACTCACAGTGTAATGCAAAAACATTAATCCACCTCAAATCATCTTAAAGAAAAAAAGTAAAACAGGGCCAGCACCGTGGTGCACTAGGTTAATCCTCCGCCTGTGGTGCCAGCATCCCATATGGGCACCAGTTCTAGTCCTGGTTGCTCCTCTTCCAGTCCAGCTCTGTGCTGTGGCTTGGGAAAGCAGTGGATGATGGCCCATGTGCTTGGGCCCCTGCACCCACATGGGAGACCAGGAAGAAGCACCTGGCTCCTGGCTTCGGATTGGTGCAGCTCCAGCCATTGCGGCCATTTGGGGAGTGAACTAGCAAATGGAAGACCTCTCTCTCTGTCTGTCTCTCTCTCTCTCTCTCACTGTCTATAACTCTGTCAAATAAATAAATAAAATCTTTTTAAAAAATAAAATAAAAACATATTCTGAACAAGACAGTAATTTGAGAGAGCAATGGCATCATTCTTAACATCAGCCAAAAATACCTGATTAAGATTACATTCTCTTTTTTTTGTTTTGTAAGATTTATTTATTTATTTGAAAGTCAGAGTTTCAGAGAGAAAGGGAGAGACAGAAAGATCTCCCATCTACTGGTTCACTTCCCAGATGGCTACAACAGCCAAGGCTGAGCCAGGCCAAAGCCGGAAGCCAGAAGCTTCATGAAGTCCTCCCACATGGGTGGCAGGGGCCCACACACTTGAGCCATCTTCTGCTTCTTTTTCTAGGCTATTATCAGAGAGCTAGATCAGGAGTGGAGCAGCCAGGATTTGAATTGGCGCCTATATGGGATACCGCCATGCCACAATGCCAATCCCTAAGGTTAAATTCTTAAGTTAACAGAGAGTTGTCTGAATATCGGGACACATTTTTGAGGCACTGATCATCAATATAGCTAACTATGGTAATATTACATAATTTCTTCCAAATGGTAGCATTCAGTCATACTTGCTGATTATGGTAGCACTTGTCAGGCACTCCTGTTCTTAAGCTGGCGCGGATGTTGATGGTAAAATCGCTTCAGGAAAGTCTGAGCTGAAGGATGCCTGGTTGTGCATGCGGAACCAAGGGTAGGGATTAGATCCACATCTCTAAGAATAATTCTATCAAATGATATTTATGGGGGCAGGGAGCAGTTGAAGGGTTCCCAAGACTACTCCCTTAGTCAGAGATTTGCTGGGAGGGGTTCAAGGGCACAGGACATAGCTGTACTCACAGCTGAGATTTAGTAAGCAACGTAGTAAGGATCACAGTGAGTTCATGCAGGGAGAGACTCAGGTGGAAGCTGGCGGCATCCACGTGGAAACTTCCTTATGCTCTCTCTCCGTCTCTCTCTCCCTCTCTCCCTCCCTCTCTCTCTCTCCCTCTCTCTCTGCCCCTCCCTCTCTCTCTCTCCCTCTCTCTCTGCCCCTCCCTCCCTCCCTCCTTAACCATGATGAGTCAGTCACCCAAGTGCACGTTACCTCCAGCAACAAAATGCAGCAACGCGTGTGTGTGATTGTGATCAGGGAAATGTGTTAGAAACCCAGTGCCCAAGGGTTTTACTGGAGTCATGCAGGCATCGCCCACCAAAATTTCAGACTCCAAGAAGGAAAGCAGCTCAAACCACAGTATCTTATAAACAGTTCAGGCAGAGTGAGACATCCCTAGCATTTTGTGAAAGGTTTATACTAGTATAGGGGACAATGTGCCAGTCTTGTTCCCAGACATCAGTCAAGAACACACCTTGCAAGCAGGCAGCAGTCCCTGGCCTGCTGGTCAACCCCTCCATGCCCTCAGGAGCAAGCCACAGGGGTGGCCACATTCATGGACTCTATAAATAGCCTCAATATACGAGGGTACTTCAAAAAATTTCATGGAAAATGGAATTAAAACATGAGCTTATCTGATGCAAAAAGAATCTGGAATTTCATATGTAGTTTTTCATAATGTATATTTTCTTTTTAAAAGGTTTAAATGTTTTCATTTTACTTGAAAAGCAGAAAGAGAGGTTTTTCATCTACTGGCTCACTTGCCAAATGCCCACAACAGCGAGGGCTGGGCCAGGCAGAAGCTGGAAACTCCATTTGGGTCTCCCATAAGGGTGGCAGAGACCCAGGTACTTGGGCCATCATTCGTTGCCTCCTAGGTTACACATTAGCAGGAAGCCGGATCGGAAGTGCAGAAGCTGGGTCTTGAACCAGACACTCTGATATGGGATTCGGGCATCCCAAGTAGTGACTCAACTGCTCAGCCAAATGCCTGCCCCCCACAATATGCATTTTCCACGAACTTTTTTTTAAGACACCTCATACAAGGAGTCCCCACAGCTAAGAAACATCCTAATTCCTCCAGTATCCACTAAATAAACTGTGTGATGAAATGGAATATTTTGCCCAAGAAAAGCCAGAGTGTACT